TCATATTGCTGCAAGAATTGCATGTCAAAACCTACCGAAATTAATGTATAATAATTATAAAATTATAATAATTTTTTTTGTCATTTATTTATTTTTGTTTGATTAAGAACTAACATTTCGTGTAAAACTCCCAAAATACTTTGTTGCATACAAAAATTGCTTGTTTGAACCATTAAACCTGTCATTTACGTTTTTAAATTTTTGGCTGTATAGCCGCAACCTAATTAAGGTACAAATTAATCAAAATTAAGTTTATTTAAGCAGAAAGAGTAAAACTATACTTCTAACATTCTAAAAATCCACAAAACATATAGTGTCAATTTCGAACTTCGCTTTGTTCCTACTGTCCGTCAACGTGTTAACCTTGATAGTACACCACAACGCTATGCTACCATAACATCAAATATAGGAGGGCAATATGTGCTCCTCCTATTCTCGTGCGTTAATTAATAGTATTTTATTATTTTACAAAAATTTAGTGTTAATATCAATTTTTCATTACATTATAAGTAATATTCCTGTTTTTTTCCTGGTTTGGTATTATAATTTCCTCCTTTTTTATATTCATATTTTTCATCATTTGTGTATTTTATGTTAAATGTTTTTTTTAGATTAGAAACGTATAATGGAATAAATAATTTTGTTATTTATCTTTTTTTTAATTCGACGGTTGGGGCTGCAAATAAATTACAATATGTATCAATGTCGACAAAACTTTCATCATATTACTCCTAGGCCTTCAAAGGATCAAGTCTTTTCTCCACTACAACATTTCACAAGATCTCATACTGTAAATGTTTATCAAGATTTTTCTTCGTCTTCTACTACGATTGTTTTGGACCTGCCTATTTTCACGGACACCTTTGAACCATTCTCAAGATCAACTTACATTTTTCAATATTGTGGAGTTACATTATGGATACCATACCAGGATAAAACTTTCTACTTTCTCTTCTTTGAATCTAAAATTAATTAATGACATTAACAAACGAAATTTTCTTTTGCGTTGTCGTAAATTTAAATTGTTACCCAAGTTTTTTGATACAAAATCTATGTTCCGTAAATTCAATCATTTATCTTCCCCTTCCTTGACCAAAAAGTTTTGTAGTATTAGTTTTGAGGCCATGACACTTGAAATAAAAAATAGCTTTTCTTATATTTCATCTCTCAAAAATAAAATTGATTCCATAAAACAATTTTTAACTTCTATTTTGGAACCTTTTATATTATACAACTATCTTGAATGTGAAAATTTAAAATATGATAAAATTTTCTCAAAAATAAAACAGTCACACATCAATAAATTCAATAAACTTTTAGATAATCATAATAAATTTTCTGTTCCATTAATTAAAGCAGATTCAGTTGATAAATGGCTAAAAAACTATTCTAATACTCCTATTCCATCTAATTTAAAGTACATTTTTGCTCTTGGTCCGAAATTTTCCCTTCCTCCTTCAAAATCAAAATATAATTTTTTAAAAGTCCTTAGTAATTTGGAGATTGGTATTAGTAAATTGAAAGACTTTGAAAAAGAAACAAATTTCAGGTCTATCGCATGTAATAATCTTTTATCTTTTATTAAAAAAATAATTCTAACGTTTGTTCTTTCCCTTTACATTTGGAAGTTGTAAGAGATCTCAAATTATGTAAAAAGTTTTTGAATGATAATTCTGATATTTTAGTTACTAAAGCTGATAAGGGAAACCTTACAGTTGTTGTTGACAGGTCTGATCATCTTTCAAACACTTATGATTTATTAGATGACGGTAATTTTTATAAACCTCTTGTTAATGATCCCACTGACCATTTGAATAGAAAAACACACAATCTTATTGGTACTTTAATTTCTAAAAAACAAATCTCTAAATCTTTAGGCTTTTCTTTGAAAGTTTTTCATCCTAGCTTTCCTAAACTTTACTGTCTTCCTAAGGTTCACAAACCAAATTTACCATTCAGCCTATCGTTTCTGACATAAATTCTCCTTTAAGCAAACTTTCAAAAATTTATTAGTTTTATCCTTTCAAAAGTTACCGTTTCTCTTCCCAAGTTTAACGTTTCCAATTCTTTCAATTAGCTAAAATTTTAAAAACATTCCGAAATCCCTTCCACTTTTCTTTATCCAGCTTTGACGTCATTTCCTTGTTCACCAAATTCCTTGGGATCTTGCTTTACAGGCAGTCAATGACCGTTGGAATGACATCCAACCTCATACATATTTTGACTTGATTTGGTTTAAAACTACTTTAAATTTTCATTTTGAAAATACTTACTTTTGTTTTGACGATAAATTTTTTCACAAACTTTTGTTTGCCCATGGGTCTAGTATTAGTCCTCCTGTGGCAGATTTAACTTTACAAATTTTAGAAAATGTATTTTAACAAATCTTCCCGTTCAACCTTATTTTTATTATAGATATGTTGATGACATCCTCTTGTGTTTAGATAATGATTATGTAACCCACACTTTAAATTCTTTTAATTCTTTTAATAAGAATTTGCAGTTCACTTGTGAACTTGAAGCTAGTAATTCTATCAGTTTCTTAGACTTAAAACTTATAAGAAATAATAATGTCATCCTCACTGACTGGTTCCAAAAACCAACTTGGTCTGGTCGATATTTAATTATTATTCTTATCACTCTCGTTCTATAAAAATTTCAGTTGTCATTTCCTTAATAGATAGGGCCATTTGTTAAGTGATAAGATTTTTTGGGAAAAAACCTATCTTTAGTTCGTGCTGTTTTAAACAATAATTCTTATTAAAAATAGATTAGAGTTTTTACAAAACAATTTAAACAGTTCTTCCTATTTTAACAATTCTTTTTCAAAATCTATTTCTTCTTCTTTAGATAAATATAAAGGTGTTATTTGTTTACCCTTTTTAAGCAGTTTTTCTTATTTTTTAAAAAAGTTATTTGCCGCTGAAGGTTTTCTTTTGGTTTTCAGTTTTGATACACTTTCCGTTGCCTTTTTCTCCTCTTAAAAAATCAACTCCCGCTGATAGGATTCCTGATTCTGTTTACAGGTTGGACTGCAATGATTGTAATAGTTGTTACATTGGTGAAACTTCCCAATATATATACAAGAGGGTTGATCAACATACTTATAATTCCAGAAACCCAAATCATTCAAAACGATGCTTTCTGAACATATGATAAACCTGAACCACACTCAATCCCTCAATCAATTGCGCTGCGTTGTACTTTTAACCTTGATAGTACACACAACGCTATGCTACCATAACATCAAATATAGGAGGGCAATATGTGCTCCTCCTATTTCTCGTTTGTTAATTAATAGTATTTTATTATTTTACAAAAAAAAATTTAGTGTTAATATCAATTTTTACATCATACTAATGTTTCCTGTTTTTTACTGGTTTGGTATGTATAATTTCCTCCTTTTTATATTCATATTTTTCATCACTTGTGTATTTATGTTAAATGTTTTTTTGGATTACTGAATGATGACACATCAAATATCGAAACGTAAATGGAATAAATAATTTGTTATTTAATCTTTTTTTTAATTCGACGATTGGGATGCAAAAAAATTACAATATGTATCAACGTCGACAAAACTTTCATCATATATATATATATATATAACTAGCTGACCCGGCAAACGTTGTTTTGCTAAGTAAGGTATATTCTAAACAATTTCTAGAGAATCAAAAATTTTCAAACGAACGATTAGCTGACTACGTTTAGTAAAACTACAGACTTCGTCATTTTAAAAATGTGCTTTTTTTGCTGTCTTTCAAAATTTGTTATCTAGACCTTTTTACCCTATAGGCGGGGTAACTTGGAACGGCCAGATGGCAAACAGGTTTAATGTCTTATTTTAATTTTAAAGGTATTTTACAAAATAATTACATTTTTAACTAATGCTAAAAAGCTACCAACAGAAGAAAATACTTTTACTATGGATTTTCAAAGATGACCGTTTATCTCCCAATATCAAAGTCATAAGAATCAAGGTTATAGCTGGTTATACATCTTTCTCCCTTCACTTTCAAATAATGTTGTTAAACAATGCTTCAGCTTTACTGGATTTTGACACTTTGGTCGTGAAACTTTTAACCCCGTACCTTCATATATTACTAACCATTCTTTGATAATTCTGGGAAATATAACTGGGAATAAGTTATTCGACAAAATGTACATGTAAATGTAAGTAATGCTCTTTTTCAGTCTTGGTCGCGGCATTATTATTAAACTTCACTTCACCTTATATATATATATATATATATATATATATATATATATATATATATAATATCTTCTATATATATAAAAATAAGTCGGGTTTTCCTTCCTGACGAAATAACTCCAGAACGCGCGAACCGATTTCGACAATTTTACATTCGTTGGAAAGGTCTCGGGCTCCGCAAGGTTTATAGCTAAGAAAATTTAAAAAAAAAATTCAACAGAAAAGCGGAAAACATATTTTCTTTTTTTACATGCGGCGTCATCTCTAAAACTTAGCATGTACTACAAATCAAACCGCAGTCGGTAGATGGCGCCGGTAGATATATTGTTTGACATCTCAATGTTCACCGTTCAGTTAAATTCAGGTGACAAACCGGCATTGTGTTGACAGTGAAATTGTGCAAAAAAGTTAAATAAGTTATTCTTTTCCGTATATCACGTGTTTTATGCAAATTTTTGTCTTTAAAGCAGGCGTTTGTCTTTAAGGTGGTAAGTTAAACTGTGTAAATTATGTGGATAGTGCATTTGAGTTTAAATTCACCACTCTGTCCATAGTCTGAAATGCCTATAGGACGACGTGCGAACATCGGTCGCCGCACAAGACATGCAAGCCAGCAGCAAGTGTATTTACTAAACTTAAGCGAAGGCAGACAAAATATAATAAGACAAATGCCCGGTTAAGACAACGCATCAGTACACGTAGATCATTGACATCATACAATCGCTTGGCATTCCAGTATGATCCCACTGCAAACTACAGTGATGATAAAAATTTCGATATTGGACCAATGACGACTATATGCCGATATTGCAATGCGTTAAAGTTCAAAAGAGAAACGGCTGGATTGTGCTGCGCAAGTGGAAAAGTAAAACTGGATCCATTACTTGCACCACCAGTGCCACTGAAATCATTGTTTGATAGAAGCGACCCCGATTCCAGCCATTTTCTTCAACACATCCTTCAATACAATAACTGCTTTCGCATGACTTCCTTTGGAGCTAATATCATTCAAGAAGGCGGCTTCATGCCGACTTGCAAGGTAAAAGATACAACGCACATAACCAATTACCCACACCAACACAATGAATTGCACACCACACACTACACCATCACACGATCAGAAGTTACACCGTATTCTTCAACTAATGATTGTTTGCAATTACAGATAACAAGTTAACTTAACAAGTCCAAAGACTCAAATACAATGTTTGACAACTTTATTTCTACATTTTTATTCAACTTCAATCAAGCTTTTCCTCTTATTAAGAAAACCGTTTGCCCAAAAAATAATACTTCAACTCCTTGGCTAACTAAAGGGTTGAGAATTTCACTTAAAAGATTAGCATTTCTTGAGAGATTATCGGTACATAATGATAACATGGCTTTTATAATTTATTTTTTGAAATATAGGGCAACTTTAAATGATCTAATCAATTTAGCGAAGATCAAATACAACGAAAACTTGATTTTTAATTCAGCAAATAAACAGAAAACAATTTGGTCCTTAATTAACTCGGAAATCAATACGAAAACTAAATCTTCACAGATTGATTGTCTTACAATTAACGGCGACAAGATTATTGATAAGGTAGCCATATCTAATAAATTTAATCACTTTTTTGTCACCGAAGCGTCTAAATTAACAAGCGCAATCAACTCGATCACCACTAGTTCGACTAAATCTTTATCCGCGCGAAATAATTCTACATTCGTTCTTTATCCTGTAAATTTAGAAGAACTAAAGCAAACCTTTCTATCGATAAAAGTTTCTAGTTCAGCGGGTCCGGATCAGATACCTAGTCTTATTCTTAAAGAATTCTATCCCTTTTTCATAGATAAATTTATGTTATGTTTAAATAAATGCTTCGATGAAGGAATATTTCCATCCCACCTCAAGCATTCAAAGATTTTTCCACTTCATAAGAAAAATAATAAAGACGATATAAATAATTACCGTCCCATTTCCCTCTTGAACTCTTTCGATAAAATAATTGAAAAAATCTTGCATACTAGATTAACGTCTTTTCTCAATAAATATAATATTTTGTTCAAGAATCAGCATGGTTTCCGAAAGAACCATTCTACTTCCCACTCAATTTATAATTTAGTTCATAACATCATTGACTCCTTCGAAGAAGCCACATATTGTACTGCGATATTTTGCGATCTGTCCAAAGCTTTTGATAGTATTTCTCATCAAAGACTTCTTGACAAATTAGAAAATTGTGGTATTCGCGGACGTTCGCTCAAACTATTTGAATCTTACCTGTCTAATCGAACTCAAAGCGTTTACTTAAAGAACGATCACGAGCAAATAATTTCGGATAAATTGACAAGTACATTGGGCGTGCCCCAAGGATCAATTTTAGGGCCTCTCTTATTTCTCATATATATTAATGATTTACCTCATTGTACAAATCTTTGTGATTTTATTCTTTTTGCGGATGATACCAGCGTTATCATCAAGGCCAAATCTCTGAATGAATTACAACATAAATTAAGCGTGGTTATGTCAGAAATAACGAAATGGTTTTGTGAAAATAATCTAGTCCTCAATAATGATAAGACCCAAATCATATCTTTTTGTACAAAAAATCGTTTATCCAATAATATTACTTCTTTAACTATCAATAATTCAGCATATAATTTTTCGCAAGTATCAAAGTTTCTTGGTATCCATATTAATAATAATTTAAAGTGGTCTGATCATATCTCTATCTCACTATCACCAACTTTATCTAGAACATGCTTCATGTTGCGCACCCTAAAACCCAAACTTGGTTTAAATTGCTTACTTTCAGTTTATTATAGCAACTTTTATTCTCACGTTTCATACGGCATTCAATTCTGGGGTTTTTCATCCGAACTAATTAAAATATTTAAGCTTCAGAAAAGAGCTATTCGAATAATTTTTTCCTTGCCCAGTAAAGCCTCCTGCAGACCCATATTTAAAAAATACAATATTCTAACTGTCCCATGCATTTTTCTGCTGGTAACATTAACCTTCATCAAAAACAATTCGAAACTTTTTGATATGGCTTCGTCCATACGAAATTACAACACTAGACACAAACTTATTAAGGCGCGTACATATAAATTAGCCAGCTCTTTCAATACGATCGACGGTCTAGGTATTCAGCTTATGAATAAACTTCCACTCAATATCCGAAACCTAGACAGCAAAAAATTTCATGCTTCCCTAGTTAAACTTTTTAAAGACTTAGCTTTTTATGACATTACTGAATTTTCTCAATTTGATTTCAATAACTATTTTCTTGCATAATCCTTATCCTGTATCTATGTAGTCTGACCATTTGATTGCCTGTACAACCATATTTTATTGTTTTTTTTTTCATTTTTTTCATTGCTATTTTATTAATTTAAATTTTTTGCGGTTTTAAATGAGAATAACTTTCAAACTTGTGCAAGAATTTTGAGCTTGACTGGTGGTCAAATAGACTTCAATATGATGAACTTGATGATGAACATTGTATTCAATGTTCGAATGCTTTTTTTTTTCAGCTCTTTTTTTTCAGAAGCGAAATTCGTGCAGCTACTATAATTATTATAAAATTACTAACCTTTTAATATTAACTATGAATAAGCTTGACAAGAGCCTGAAATAATATCTATTATTATTGATTACGGCTTGCTTATGAATAAATAAATAAATAAATAAATAAAAGATACAAGGACAAATATACCATTTGCATGGTTCAATGGTGCCAACACCAAATGAACAGCATCAATTTCTGCAAATATATTTAATTTCGTCGATGGTGGATCAGCTGAATGTGCGGTGCAATATGCAGGAAGAGTTAAAGAGACGAGTTATTGAACAGTTGCAATCATTTTTTCACGCTAATAATGCTGTGGTTAACATGTTCAAAACAGCATTGGAACGAATGCCATCAGATACGCACAAATTTATCATAAGAGCGGATTGTACCCCAAGAGGTGAACATGTGCGAAGATTCAATGCACCCACCGTTAATGATGTTGCTGCAATTATTGTTGGCGATCCAACTAAATCGCGAGACATTGTCGTTCAGCGAAGAAGCAATATCATGCATCGCGTAAACGAGACACATCGTTTGTACGACGCGTTACAATATCCAATCATTTATTGGCAAGGGCAAGACGGTTACGACATCACGTTGAAGATGGTCGATCCAATTACAGGTGCAATATTAACACACTAATTATTTTTATTATTGCTATTATTTGTTTCCATTAACAATTCATTTCAATTTGCATTTTCAGGCTTATCAACGAATAAAAATCTAAGCGCTATGAAATACTATGCATATCGTATGATGATTCGTTCACATGAGGAGAATGTCATTCTGAAGTGCCGTCGGCTATTCCAGCAATTCGCTGTCGACATGTATGTCAAAGTCGAGACCGAACGTTTAGCGTTCATTCGATTCAATCAGGCAAAGCTACGATGTGAGGACTATATACACTTGCGAGATGCTATTCATTCAGATGGTGATGTTCAGAATATTGGACGTCTCACGATTCTCCCATCATCTTATACCGGAAGTCCACGCCACATGCACGAATACGCTCAAGACGCTATGACATTATGGAACTCCGGATTTATTTATTACGTTCACTTGCAATCCGAAGTGGACGGAAATTGAACGTGAGTTGGAAATAGGCCAAAAACCGCAAGATCGCCATGACATAATAGCCAGAGTATTTCAGCAAAAACTCAAGGTTATGATGGATGTGCTTACAAAGTATCGAGTTTTTGGTGACACACGTTGTTATATGTACTCAGTGGAATGGCAGAAGCGTGGACTACCGCATGCTCATATCCTAATTTGGTTGCTGAATAAATTACATTCAAATGAAGTGGATGACATCATATCAGCTGAAATTCCTGATCCAGTCACTGATCCCCATCTACACGATATTGTGACGACACAGATGGTGCATGGACCGTGCGGTGCATTAAATCCATTATCGCCTTGCATGGCTAATGGAAAGTGCACAAAACGATATCCGCGACCGTTAGTTGCTGATACATTCACAGGGAACGATGGATATCCAGTTTATCGTTGGCGTTCAAAAGAAGAAAATGGTCGAACTATCAAAGTTAAAGTTCAAAATCAAGAGATTGAGATCGGAAATGAATTTATTGTACCATATTGCCCGCTGCTATCTCGAATTTTCAGAACACATGCAAACGTTGAAAGTTGTCATTCGGCCAAATCAATCAAATATTTGTGCAAGTACGTCACAAAAGGCACCGACATGACTGTGTTTGGTATTGCGTCGGAAAATGCGAATGACGAAATTAGCAGCTTCCAAATTGGCAGATACGTCAGTAGTAATGAAGCACTGTGGCGATTATTGTCATTTCAAATTCATGAAAGATATCCCACAGTTATGCATTTAGCAGTGCATTTGGAAAACGGCCAAAGAGTTTACTTCACTGAGGCTAATGCGGCACAGCGAGCTGAGAGACCACCATCGACAACATTGACTAGCTTCTTTGCTATGTGTGAAGCAGATCCATTCGCAGCGACGCTGATGTACGTTGATATGCCTAAGTATTACACTTGGAATCAATCAACAAAGAATTTCCAACGCCGCAAACAAGGAACCCCAATTCCAGATTGGCCACATGTGTTTTCCACGGATGCACTTGGTCGCATATATACTGTTCATCCTAGAAGTGATGAATGTTTTTATTTGCGACTTCTGTTGGTAAATGTGCGTGGACCAAAATCATTTGTGCATTTGAAAACTGTGAATGGCCACCGATGTCAAACATATCGAGAAGCATGTCAACTATTGGGTTTGCTGGAGAACGATTCTCATTGGGATCTAACACTTGCGGATTCAGTTGTTTCATCAAATTCGTACCAAATACGAACGCTGTTCGCAATTATCATCACCACATGCTTTCCTTCACAACCAATACAATTATGGAACAAATACAAAGACGACATATGTGAAGATATCTTGCATCGCTTGCGCATTCAAACTAACAATCCTGATATCCAAATAACCGATGAAATCTACAATGTAGGATTGATTCTGATTGAGGATCAATGCTTGACTATTGCAAACAAGCTACTAATTGAAGTAGGAATGATTGCGCCAAATCGATCGATGCACGATGCATTCAACCAAGAATTAAATCGAGAGCTGCAATACAATGTTGATACATTGCAAGAATTCGTTCGAATTAATGTGCGAAACAAGTATACGAAACATTAATGCAAGCGGTGGCCAATAATACTGGTGGTCTATTCTTCCTGGACGCACCTGGAGGAACAGGGAAAACATTTGTCATTTCATTGATTTTGGCCACTATTCGATCAAGATGTGACATAGCTTTAGCGTTTCATCTGGAATTGCAGTTACTCTTCTAGATGGAGGTCGTACTGCACATTCTGCACTTAAGTTGCCACTCAATTTAAACACAATTGATTCTCCAACATGCAATATTTCCCGATCCAGTGCAATGGGAAAATTGTTGACGCAATGCAAGCTCATTGTTTGGGATGAGTGCACAATGGCGGACAAGAAATCACTTGAAGCACTTAACTTTACACTGAAAGATCTTCGACGAAATAACAACATCTTTGGCGGCTTGATGATATTGTTGGCAGGCGATTTCAGGCAGACGTTGCCAGTAATTCCCCGTGGAACGCCTACAGATGAATTGAATGCTTGCCTGAAAGCATCACCGTTATGGAATAACGTAAAAACATTATCGCTAACCACTAATATGAGAGTTCAACTTCAAAATGATCAAAGTGCTGCACAATTTTCCAAACAATTGTTAGCTGTTGGAAATGGGAAAGTCCCAGTTGATGCGACATCTGGATTAATTACTCTTACCAATGACTTTTGCCGATTTGTAGACTCTCAATTAGAACTTATTGAAAATGTTTTCCCAAACATTAGCGAAAATTATCAGAATTATGCTTGGTTAAGTCAACGAGCAATTCTTGCCGCAAAAAATAATGATGTGCACGCACTGAACTACGCCATTCAGTCAAAAATTGCTGGCGATTTGGTGACATACAAATCCATTGATTCCATAACAAATCCCGATGATGTAGTAAATTATCCAACGGAGTTTTTGAACTCTCTGGAGTTAACAGGATTTCCACCACATAACTTGCAATTCAAAGTTGGCACTGTTATAATGACATTGCGTAATTTGAATCCACCGCAACTTTGCAACGGTACTCGACTTTCAGTAAGAAGACTTATGCCGAATTTGATTGAGGCAACCATTATTAACGAGTAAAGTAAACGAGTAGTTAAAGTACGCAGGTGAAAATGTATTCCTCGAATACCAATGATTCCGACTGGTCTTCCGTTTGACTTCAAACGATTACAATTTCCAGTTCGCCTTGCGTTTGCAATGTCAATTAACAAGTCGCAAGGTCAATCGCTTAGTGTTTGCGGTATAAATTTAGAAAATCATTGTTTTTCGCATGGCCAGTTGTACGTTGCCTGTTCACGTGTTGGGAAACCATCCGCTTTGTTTGTGTTAGGCCAAAAAAACAAAAAATGTTGTTTACCAAAAGAAGAGCCTTTTGGTAATATAATATATATAATATACAATAAAACATATAATTTGCAGATTCACTTTCTTTTACTTAGAGAACTTCAACTCATTTTTGTAATCAAAATAAATTCATTACTGTTGTGTAATAAAATCAAATTTTTCCTTTTCAAATATAAACCAAACAAAAAATTTCTTCATTTTTCTCACGAAACCATCTGGTGGCGAAACGGAGTTCGTCGGGTTTGCTAGTATATATATATATATATATATATATATATATATATATATATATATATAGTCTTGGTCGCGGCATTATTATTAAACTTCACTTCACCTTATATATATATATATAGTATCATAGATTGAATAAACTACATGGATAGTTTATAAATAATTAATTCTGAATTAGAATGAAAAACGGGCTCTAAACTACCTCTCTGCCACCAATTACTGAGCCACAGCAACGCGTGGCCGGGCTAGCTAGTATTTTTTTTATATATATATAAATATACTATCAATTAAACTGAAAATCGGGATAAAAAGTATCCTAAGTCCTTCTCCTGGCTCTAAACTACCTCCCTGCCAATTTTCATCTAAATCGGTTCAGCCGTTCGTGAGTTATAAGTGTTAGCACATAAAGCGATCCTATTTTATATATATAGATATATTCAACTAGAGCAAACAGGATAAAAGTTAAGGTAATGCATGTCTGGCGGGATAAAGTAATGACGAATTATGAAAATAGGAAGAAAAACTTATTGGAAATAAATGATGATGTCTATCAGAATGATCAATTAGAAATAATAATCCGCCAAATGTCTGCTATAATAAGCTAAATGAGATATAAATTATATCAAGACTCAGCCATTTATTATAGAGAGAAAATATTTTTTTGTCATTCCTCGGCGAAATGAGTTACGAGAAGTTGCTCATAAAAGGACGATTGATGATAATCAAAGTAATTTTTATATTATAAGAAATTAAAAATATAATGACATTGTGCGACAATTGAATATTAAGTAGCGGGAGTTGATAGTGCATATATCAAGTGTTCAAAATAGAAAATATACCCTTTCAAATATTTTTAATCGGATCGGCCGGTGTAGGGAAAAGTAATAAATACATACCAACAGATAAATTACTACGAGAGTCTTCCCCCGGAGGGTATTTAAATAAAATAGTGGTACTGTTTCCTAATCAATTTCGTCACGTGGCATCCCGTTCACATTAGCTTGTAAACAATTTGGCATGAATTCAGCAGAACTATCGAGCGATGTCGCAAGTAAATTAAGCAAACAATTATCAAGAGCTCAACTTTTAATAATTGACGATGTTGATACTCGATTATAGCCAGTTAAAAGAATTAATAAACCTTTTGATTGATTGAATTGATTAAATAATTTGTCGGAAATGAAAATGATGATATAAAATGAATAAGAACTAGAAAAGGAAGTTCCAGAAACAGCAAGATTGTAGGACACAAATGAGAACGTAGCAGGATGTAATAAATTAAAAATTAATCAAAATGAAAATCCATTAATAATCTCGACAGCCGATCATGTATTTTCAAAAAAAAACATCAATGGATAAAGTAAAAACTAATTTAAAATTTTATGGTTTTCAGCTGCCCATAGTGGAAAAAGGCTAGAGCAATTGCAAGGAATATGACTAATAGCGATATAGACAATATTTTTATTGTTATAAGTTTTTACATATGTTATCATGTAATGATAAATGTTTATTTTGTCTCTATAAAAAAATCAGCATTGTGCATAAATTCTTCAGATGACAAAAAATACCGTATCTTCAGAAATAAATTTCCGGTCGTAATCGCAGAAGCCTCTCTCAAACTATTCATTTATGCTTAAGTTATTTTTTAATCTATGTATAAAGAAACTAGAGTTTTAACTGAACACTAGAGTTCTCGTACGATCGCCGAGTTTAAAGATTTTTGGATGTGGAAAGTAGGTAAATTGGAGAGCATTTGAAAATGACACGTTGACTGCATTTTTATGGTAACACTACTAAACACTTCATTTTTACTGAGATATACAAAATGTATAACCGGTTGAGAGTTTAAAAATACAATATAAAAAAATCGATTTCGAGATTTAAAAAGATATAAAAGTCTTGCCAAAAGATTGTTGAGGAAGGAAACAAACCGTATAGCCAAAACGACCATTGTAAATTTTTCATTGAAACAACTTTCCATTGAATCTCTGAAGCTGTATATAAAATATAATTTGATATATGTAATTTGTTTATGAGAATTCGTGAAATTGATCTGAAAGACACCGACGCCAAATCCTTTTTTCAAAATTTCTCGAATGATTCAAGCAACGACATAAAAACCATGCTCGAATAAAATATAAATTCAAAATCAGGACATAAAATATTGAAATGTATATCGAACCAGAAAATTTCTAATATATCCAGTTTCTAATATATACAATATAAAAGGAGGAATTTATTGCAAATTGTTCAGAATATGGTATGACCAAAAATAAATCTTATGCGGCGTTAAAAATATAAATATATGTACATGTATAGTAGTAAATATAAATGTAAATATGAGCGTAAAATTATTAAGACAAAAATCCTTGTTTTAATTATCAATATAGCGAAAATATGTGGTATTATATTACTGTATATAATAACTGTAATTGTATTATTATTGAATTGATTTATATAATTTAACATTCACATTACTACAATGAAACATAAATATGGTTACTTATTTGTATTTGAGTGTGTATAGTTTTCCAAATATAAATATTGATCAAATGCAAACAATATATCTTACCGGTTACATGTTCTATTGCTTATTGAATATTTAAAATTAGTTAAATGTATTTTTTCGTAATAGTAATTTATTATCCTCCAAGCATTTCTCAATATTTGCAACTATTACTCAAGTTTATTAATATCGATTGTAAATATCGTCGAATCATGGCGAATTGATTTTATATAATCTTACTTTTTCTTTACATAATATCCATTCTGCTTTTCTCAATTTCCTTCATATATTATTTTTACCCATTTTGTGATATATGTCAAATAACAAATAATTCGGTAAAGATTAAACAACAGAGATTAAATATTCTGGTGGTGGTGCAAAAGAATTTGTCATCATCAAATTGAATTGAACAAGTTAATCTTCACACGACTTTGAATAATTTTTATAAGCAGTATAGAAATATTTTCTTTGTCAATAAGTCATACAGATAAAATTATATTTAATTCATAATATTATTTAAGCATAATCATGATATGTTTCATATTTGTTTTTGTTTAATTTTATTTAATAAACTATCTATTATTCATATAAACTATATTAATTTATTTGTTCAATACATGGCTCTATTCTCTTCATTTCGTTACCGTTAATCGGATTTATCATCAGCATTTTGTTACATTTTTTTAATTAGAAATCACTTCTAATTTTTAATGTGGTTCAACCAAATATGGTGAAATCACATTAGCTGGCCATTTTTCTCTGCAATCTTGGATGATGTAAACATCTATATCATAAAGGCATTATTGAGGATCGTCGGCTTTTTCTTTCTTAAATCCCTTTCCAACTCTTGATTTCAGGAATAGTCAATATTCCTCAACATGCTCATAGTGCTCATAGTGTCCTACTGTATTTCCTTGGTGACTCGTATATATCATAAAAAGCAAGGATACATATACAACTATTTGATCCATAGTCAGTAAATCCGCATAATATGAAATAATGCTTCTGATTGATCATGTATGGAAGCCCGAAAGATCAAAACCTTTTTTTAACTACATAACTTCCGTCTTCGCCTTAACTGAGGCTATCATTTTATTTAACATATGATATTACTTTATGTAGATAAATTGACTTTGCTCAAATCTTGATAGTATCCAAATAAATTGAACATTAACGAAAATATATTAAATGAGCAATGTCATTCAAAATAGGCACTTCAGATGGGTTGCATTCCTATTTGAGCGAAAACTATTGATGTTGTATTGACTTAGTTGAATGTCCTTGTCTATAATAAGAGCTTGGCAAGATTACATACAAAAGACATGTTTCAAATAGTCTGACACACCAAAGGAATCAAATTATTGCCATTACAATGATCTTCAGCCATAAAGATCCAGTCATAAAATTTGATATATTAATCATAATCAGTGTGTATGTTAATGCCTCTCCTCTTATTAGTCATTTGTCTGATGCAAGATTAATTCCTTCCATGACCCGTTTTATGTCCATGTTGTTTCAATTAAAATAAATGTGTCTTATAACAAATATTAACTTTTTTCTTATTATTTTCATATTTGAATAAATTATATATTTAAATCTAAGACTGTCAATAAACTTAATTGTTTTTAATCTGATAGCAATAAAATCCCAAATCGATATTATTATATATCATTAATTAAGTACTGTTAATAAATTAAGACAATCATATCTGTAAATTATTTTTATAAATGCCGAAGTATAATTAATGACCATGTTGTTGCTTTAATTTAATAGTCCATTATCTTTTGTTTCATCAAAATAATCAATTTTCATCCTGTAGACAAACTGTTATTCTAATATCTTCTCGTGGGTCCAATACATTTTAACTAATTTTACATATTCAGAGATTAATTTCGAAAAAATTTGCAGTTCAAGAAAACAACTGATGCTTTACTATTAACAATACATTAGATAATGATAGTATAGTACAATAAATAATAATAGTAATTTGCAAAACTGG